AGAACTTAGATCATGATAGTTAAAGATATGAAATGATTGATTTGACTAAATCCAGATCACAGGGTTGAGATGATTAATTTGATTAAATCTAAATCTTCTCTAAATTCCACAAATTGAATCTTAATAATCAAAGGACTGAGATGATTAATTTGACTAAATCTAAATCAAATCATATAAAAATCTAATAAACTAAATTAATAACCACAAATAAACTTTTACAATCTGTTTTGATTTATAACTAAGAAAATTAAAGATATGAAATGTTTATAATGAGGTAAATTGTGGGAAAATAAATTAAAATTTCAACTCCAGTTAAAATAATTATCTTTTTTTTTTTTTTTGACATCAAAATACAGACTCATATAGACTCTGTGAACCAAGGCGGTAGCTCTGTATCCAGTTAAAATAATTATCAATACTAATAAAACAGAAACACATTTTATCTACTTGCAAATAGGCTAGATTAAAACATTACATTTATTTAATTTTATGTTATGTTACATACAACAAACTTAGTTATTATTAAATAAACACATAATATTAATATAGTATTTTAATATATTTAAAATAAGATATCAAAAAGATACTCTTAACTACTTTTCAGATTACATTTAACAATATCTTTAATATATATTTATTTTAAAAAGAAATATTTATTGTTTTAATATTATTTTAATAGTAAAAACGTAAAATAATATTAAATTAATTTACAAATGAATATTAAACCATTTTGATTTATAAAATAAGAAATAACATTCTATAACATTTATATAAATATTTCATATTTGTAACTAAAAATTACACAAAATAATAATTATAATATAAATTAATCTACTTATAAATTATAAACTAAATGATTACATTTACTGAATAACAAAATACTACCATACTATATTTAAAAAATTATATTTTAATATACATATCTAAATTAAAAAATTAGGATATAAAAATTAATATTTAAAATTATGTAACTGATACAGTAAATAATAATAAACAAATTCTTAAAATCTCCGCCAATAATAATATAATTATCATAGATAAAGTCTTAAAACTGTTTATATATTTATTATTTTTTTAAAAATAAATATTAATAATATCTACTATTAATATTTAATTAAACATGTTATTACTGATATGCTTATGATTATAATTTTACGGGTTATTCCAATAAACAGACAAAATATTTATCAAATATAAAATTAGTTTAACAAAATATAAAACATAATTTAAGTTATGTTTGAGAGTTCAAGTACTTATTGAGATACGAGTTGAATATTTTGAATCAAAGCTAATTCATATCACATCATAAGTGTCATAATTTGTAAATTGACATGTTTTAAGTATGGATCAGATTCAAATATAACACGTCGGGTTTGGTTCTAATTTGTAGACATCATAAAACTGATAAAATAACCATATATCATTTGGATTCGGGTTATATTAGTTTAGAAATCTAATATCTAAAACCAAAACAAAAAAAAAAGATACTTATTTTATAGAATTGAGTATCAAAGTACATATTTAAAATTTAGATAATTAATTTTAAATATCATTTTAAAATAAATATAGAACTTAATATTTAAAATAGATATTTATGTTTCAAATATTTATATTTATGATTAATTTGGACATTCAGATCGATTCAAATTTTTTTTCCAGATTTTTCAGTCTTTGGGTTATTCGTTCGGGTCTAGCTAATAACACTTAGATTCAGATATATTTTGTACCACCCTACAAAACTCATTCTGATATATTTTAGACTTTTGACCGGTTACGGATCCAATTTTTTTTGTTAGAGTGAGTTTAAACATCAAGTTATGGATTGTATGCATATATCTACTTTATATAAAACAAAAATGCAGTCATATAAAATTTTCACGGAAAGATTATCTTGCATTTTTAAAAATATTATGTTTAATGAAATTAATGAACTAAACAAGTTTATCCCACATTCTACATGTATAAAAATGCAATTATATAAAGTTTTCATCAAACATAAACCCGTGGTTTGAAAGCGCGGATCAAAATCTAGTCAATACTATTAAAACAGAAGGATATTTCATCTACTTGCAAATTGTCTAGATTAAAACATTACATTTATTTAATTTTATGTTATGTTACATGCAACAAATTTAGTTATTATTAAATAAAAATATTAATATAATTTTTAAATATATTCAAAATAAGATATCAAAAAGATATCCTTATCTACTTTTTCAGATTACATTTTTAAAATATCTTTAATATATTTTTATTTTAAAAATAATTATTTATTGTTTTAATATTATTTTAATAATAAAACCTAAAATAATGTTAAATTAAATGAATATTAACTCACTTTGATTTATACAATAAAAAAATAATTTTCTATAATATTTATACATGAATATTTCATACTTGTAGTTACCAATTACACTAAATAATAATTATACAATAACTTAATTCTAATTTTTGTAAATTATAAACTAAATGAATTACATTTATAGAATAACAAAATACTACCATAAGATATTTAAAAAAATTATATGTTTATATATATATACATATATATCTAAATTAAAACATTAAGATGTAAAAAAAATTAATATTTAACTATATGTAACTGATATACAAAATAATAATAAACAAATTCTTCAAACCTCCGTCAATATATAATAATATAATTATCATAGATAAAATCTTAAAATCATTTATATATATATAATTATTTATAAAATAAATATTAATAATAGCTACCATTAATATTTAATTATATGATGAAACATGTTATTATTGATATTTTTATGATTATAATCTTACGGATTATTCTGATAAATAGAAAAAATATTTATCAAATATAAAATTATATTAACAAGATATAGTTTATATCACATCATAGATGTCATAATTTGTAAGTAGGCATGTTTGTAAGTATGAATCCGATTCAAATATAACATGTCGGGTTTGGTTCTAATTTACACATCCTAAAACCGATAAAGTAACCATATGTCATTCGGATTCGGGTTATATTTGTTTGGAAATCTAAAATCCAAAACCAAAACAAAAAAAATACTTATTTTTATAGAATTAGATATTAAAGTACTTATTTAAAGTTTACATAATTATTTTAAATATCATTTTAAAATAAATATAGAACTGAATATTTAAATTAGATATATATTTATATTTATGATTAATTTGGACATTCAGATCGATTCATAGTTTTTCCAGGTTTTTCTGTTTTGTGGTTATTCGTTTGGGTCTGGCTAATAAAACTTTAATTCGGATATATTTTGTACCACCCTACAAAACTCATTCTCATATATTTTACATTTTTGACCGGCCACGGATCTAATTTTTTTTGTTTAGATTGAGTTTAGACGTCGCGTTATGGATTTTATGCATATGTCTACTTTATATAAAACAAAAATGCGGTCATATAAAATTTTCACTACAAGATTATCATGTATTTTAAAAAATACTATGTTTGATGAAATTAATAAATTAAACAAGTCTATTACACATTCTACTTGTATAGGAAATACGATTATATAAAGTTTGCATCAAACATAAGTTTAGTAAAGCTATTATTTTCTCACACAAAGTAACAAACCCTTTTATATCTGTAGATGAGTAAGTGATAACTGTAATCAAATATTTTTTTCAGAGTATTCACGTTCTGAGTCGAAATATTCATCGCATTGCGGATAATAGCACGTGAAAGCTATGCGTATTTGCAGTGGGATCAAAGAAGGAACCATATACCATTTTGTATGTGGTTCAAGGCCAGAACTAATATGATACAAAATTAAGAAACTTGATCATTAGTTAAAAAGAGTTGTACAAATAGAGAATATCCTCTAAACACTGTTTTCTCTCCTCTAAATTCCAATAGTCAATGATCAAGCTTGAGGATCATCAAGGACTAATATAAACACAAGCAGTATTAACATACAACATCCGATATTTAACACTTGATCCCATAAAACAGAGCATGCTTTCTGTTCTGTTCCAAAAACCTGATTTCCAATTGAGCTTTATCCTAGTAAATGCTGGCTTCTCTTCTGCAGAGATTTTGAACTCTTCAAGATTTGATCACACCCTTAGGCTACAGTTTGATTCATGAGTGTCTAGATGCGTCCTCATGCAACTGCGCAGTCCTCACATTAGGGTCATCCTGTTACAGTAATGAACATGTGTGTTTCCATGAACAAAGATTGACCAGTAGATACAACAGAAAAACAAAAAGAGAGATAGACTTTTTATTACAAGTAAAAATTTACCCGCATATCGTAAGAAAAACTGGGAGGGCGGAAGAAATCTACTCCCTAGAAAGAACAAAGTAGAGAATTAATCAATTTTAAATTGGTAAAAGAATTGAACAATGCTCTTGAAAGAGACAAGAATAAGTACCTGTCCATGGATGCCTTGCTGAGCAGTGTAGTAACTGTCGTAACTTGGTGCTATTGAATTCAACTGTCGCTACAGAAAACCAAATGGGGATTTTTTTTTTATAATCCAAAGTTAATGATAGAAAAACAGCAGAAGCTTAGTTACGGATGTTGATTTTCATACCAATCCTTGAATTGTTTGTTGATTTCCATAGAAGTTATCACGATTTGGCCCTCCCATTAAGTCTAGCTGGACCTGTAAACACACACATAATCAGACCACACTGCATAATAATTTTATAAGAGAACAATAACATGTGTTTTGTGCATAGTTTACCATATTTTGCATGCTCTGCTGTGTTCCGTAATAACTTTCTATGCCAACTGTCCTTGAGCTCAACTTATCCTGCAAGATACAAATTATCAAATTCTTAAGGGACTCGAGTTTAACAGAGGATTCATACAACATATCAACAAAAAGACAGACCATCTGTTGCAAGCTTTCTGGCGCTGCAACTGGCGGCGGCATAACCTCCTGCTCTGAGTTCACCTGCAATCAGTGGTCAGGATCATAAGACTTTGCCAAGCTACGAAAAAAAACTCAAGCAGAGATTTTAAACAAGACGTTACTTTTCTTTTCTTCGTTGGATTCTTTTTCTTGCTCCCCTTGCCTGCACTTCTGCTCTGGTTATCCTCCTCCACAGAAACCAGACCTTGAGTTGGTGAGCTGACCACATCCATAAGACTTCTGCCGGAAGTATTAACACCAGCACAGTTTCTCAAAGCTTCTTCAACGGCAAGGAATGCAATGTTATAACTCTCTTGAGAGCATGATGCCTCTTCATTCAGCTTCAACGCTCGCTGGCACAAATCGTTGTACCGTTGCAGCCTAGTCTGAAACTGCTGAGGCTCTCCTGAAGAAAACTGCCGGTTTTTTGCGTCTTTTGTCCACCGTTTCAATATGTACTGCGATGGGATGGAAGAAAGATGACAACACTGAAGAACATTAAGCGTGTGTCTGCAGAGGTAGCCTCTATACTCAAACAACCGACAGATGCAAGAGACTTCAGCCTTAGCTTGGTTCCATGTCACCACAAACTCCTGGCTGTTTTCAAAATCCTGAACTCTAAAAGTAGAGCACGTTGCATCCCTGTTCTCCTCCCTGGGTGAACAAGCAATTGCACCCAAAACTTCAATCTGGAATCTCTTGAACACAGCAGGAGTGTAGACTTCGGAAACACTCTTCTCAAACGGAGATGGTGACTTCATTGTTGGCTGCTTGTTCCACATTTCCGAATCAGCTTTGGCTTCTTCTTCGAATCTATCTTGCAAAATCGTATCATACAGTTTCACGAACTCTTGTACACTAGTTTTCTTGTGCAAGTACTTATCGAAGAAAGCATTAACACTATCACCTCTTTGAGATGTAGACATCCCTGCCAAAAGAACATCAGTCATGTAACTCGGTGCCCATTTCCTCCGGTCTTCATATAAAGACTGCATCCACTGATCTTCCTTGAGGCCGAATTTAGCAAGAATCTTCCACCATCTTCTCGCAAAGTCTTCCTCCTTCCATGATTTATAAATACACTTCTCAAACTTTGCGGTAAAATCTTCATGCTGCTTAGCAACGTGGCCAAGATTCTCAGAGACCTTAATCAACACATGCCAAAGAAAAACGCAATGCCGAGTATTAGGGAAGATCTCAGGAACAACGGAGTTCATTACAACATCTTGCTCAGTGATCAAAACTTTAGGAGCATGTCCCCCCATCGCTTTCAGCCAGGTGTTCATTAACCAAGAGAACGTAGCTGAACTCTCGTCAGATAGTAAAGCACAACCAAGTACCATATACTGATAATGCTGATTCACACCGACGAAAACAGCAAGGGGGGTCTTATACTTGTTTCTCACGTAGGTAGTATCAAGAGAAACAACATCACAGAAACTAACATAGCTCTGCCTGCTCTTCGCATCAACCCAAAACACATTCTTAACTCTCTGATCATCTCCAAGATCCACCGAATAAAAGAAGTTTGAACTCAAAACCTGCATCCGCGACAAGAAATCAAGCAAAATCCTAAAATCCCCTGTCTCCACTGACAAACCCCGACCTCCTTTCTCATACAACTCACCTTTTAACCCAACAACAGTTTTATACTCAGCAAACTTCTTAGCCATAGCAGCGTAGACCTTCCTAGCCTGTTCACTCACAGCTTGCGGAGGGACAAGTTCATGATTATGCTCTCTAACAAAGCTATGAATCACCCATTTCCCATTATTACCCCTTCTCTTAACATGCATACTAGCTTTACAATCAGTTTTAGCACAAGTCCTCCTACAACCACCACCCATATTATTATTCTCAGGATGTTCCACCACTTTGCTCTGTCTAGCTTTAGGACGGTTACAAGATTTATTATCATACTCTCTTTTAGTACCGTACCTAGAGCAAGCGAACTTAGCATCAATAAACTCTCTTGTGGTTTTTGATCTACGACTGTTTTGTATCGCAGTGTTGAAACCTATGGCTCGTGAGTATTCTTGGTAGAAGGCGTAGGCTTCGACGTGTGAGTCGAACTCCATGCCGTTTAGTGGCTCAAGGTTAATACTTTCTGTGTAGTTATTAACTAATTCTCCGGTTTGTAACTCCATGGTGGTGACGACGGTGTCTTCTTCCTCGATTTTACTAATGTCTATGTCTTCGTTGTGTAAGACGTTGTTGTTGTTGTTGTCTTCATCAACTTGGTCGCCTGAATGTAGACGGAGATCTATGTCCATTGATAAGAACTGAAACATTGTTGTTGAGTTTAGGTTTCAAAAAAGACATTTGTTTCTAAAAACAAAAAGTGTGTTCGTTATTACATCAAGGCAGGTTTTTTTTATTACAGAATCTAATTATTGCGGAATTGATCGAGACGAGAAGAGGAGTTTCACTGTAAGAAGATGGAGATGGAGTTACCTCGTACGGAGATTGGGGAACACGGCGGAGAATCGGAAGAACTAATCTGAAATCTCGTTGCGAGGAGGAGGAAGGAGGAGGAGGCACGCGCTGATCGGTGCGAGTTGGGGTTTGGATCTGCGAATGATAAGGGAGAAAGGAGAGAGAGAGAGAGAGATGGTGTGTGATGTTCACGCGATCTGAGGAAGCGAGTGGTCTGAGGAGGAGGAGGCACGATTTTTTTTTTTTTTTTGGTTTCTAGGGTTTCTCTATGTTGAAAGGGGTAGCACCATGTTTGGGATCAAATTCTCTAGTGACACAAGTGGATTTCTTTTTTTCTCTCGTGACCCCCCTATTAATTTGTACTAGGTGATTTTCCCGTGCTCATGCACGGTTATAAATATTCATAAAAGTGAAATGTTATAATAATTGATTGATATTTAGTTTTACTTTTGAATCAACTAATATGTATAATTTATATAAATAAGTATTATATTATTCTAATTATACATATAGCTTTGGATATATTATTGTCAGTGTAATTATTTTTCGGATCAATAGTTGGTTTAGTTATCAATTTTGTATATTGGATAATATCTATTTTTCGAATTCAGCTATAATATTTTTTATATTAAATATAATAAAACTTTGATTAATTTCTTTATTTTCATTTCGGTTGGTTATTGTCTTTAGATATGTAACTATATTCTTAGATATGTAAATATATGATAGTTAAATTGTGTATAACTTAATATATATTGTGCTTAAATGAAATAAATAATTGATTGGTATTTAGTTTTAGTTTTTAATCAATTTATATGTATAATTTATATTAATAAATATTATATTATTCTAATTATACATATGAATTTGGATATATTATTGCTGGTTTAATTATTTTTTTTATCAATATTCGGTTTGGTTATCAATTTGGTATATTAGATAATATTTATTTTTCGAATTCAGCTATAATATTTTTTATTCTAAAAATAATAAAACTTTGATTAATTTTCTTATTAAAATTTTGGAGGGTTATTTTCTTTATATATGTAAATATATTCTTAGATATGTAAATATATTATATTTAAATTATGTATAACTTAATATATATATATATATTGTGCTTAAAATGAAATAAATAATAAACTGAAATGTTTAATTCAAAATTAAATAAATGAATATAATGATAATATTTTGAAGTCGCATGCATATATCTAAATTCTAAAAAGAATTAAATTGTAATTGGTTAATATTTTCTTTTTCTTTTTAATATGTTTTGGGTGAACCTATAATTTATATGTATAAAACTAAATAGATTATTAGTATTATTATTCTTATTATTATAAAATTATATGTTCTTATTGTAGTTAGTTGATTAATTTTGAATATAAATTAGATTAGTCGAGTCATTCATTTTGTGAGTATATTGAATATAATATATTTTTAAATTAAAATTGAAGAATAATTACTTTTTATTTTAGTTAAGTCAAATCAAATTAGTTTTATTTATCGCTTAAATATACATGTATTTTCATAATATTTATTTACTATTTATTTTAGTTAAGTTAAATCAAATTAGTTTTATTTATCGCTTAGATATACATGTATTTTCATAATATTTATCAAATTATATGTTGATTTCTAAAAAATATTAGAAAATAAAGTGCTAGTGATAAGTTTTTGGATGTTCATGAACATATATATTTTTATTATACTGAAAATATATTTTATGTTATTTTTAAATATATATTAATGGGGTATTACTATTTTGTGAACTTTCCGTTTTAATAAAGTCATATTATATACATATATTTTCGTTTTTAAAATTAGTTTTAAAATTTTAGTAATATTTCCTTTTTATTGTATATGTTATTTGGAAAAAGGTAAAAAAAATAATAATAATCTTAAAATCTAACAAATCATTAAGGGTATCTATGTAATCAACCATCACAAGAGTTAACGTGAGCGCGACACGTAGGAAACTGACTTCTCAAATAATATTATAGAGATTTATTTTACATTTAAATTTAATTCAAAAAGTAGATAAAATAACTAAAAAACCTAAAGACTTCAACATATTTACGGATCCATGCCACTAATATCCAGATTCGACCCATGGTCCGACCCAGACCCAGCTGTTAACATAAATTTTTTTCTTCTTCTTCTTCCTTTTTTCTTATCCATGGATTCACCTTAAAACAAAATCCAAAATTTACTTCACATGTTCACTAATTTTCTTTTTCTTATACCAAATCGATCAACCCATAATCATATTTAATCAATTATATCTTGTTTAAAGTCAAATTTCATCATTTTCGTACGAGATTCATAACAAAGAAAAACGCAGAGTATTACTGATACAACTAGTATAACTCAAACTAGTACAACTAGGATGACTCAGACTAGTACAACTAGTATAACCCGAACTAGTATAACTAGTACAACCCGATCTAGTATGACTAATTCAACTAAAACAAACATAACTAGTACAAATACATTGAGTATAACGCGTATAACTGGTACAACTAACATGCATATAGCTTGTACAACTTTATAATTAATATGGTGATATTTGGTTTTTATTTCAGCATATGAATGATGCTAGAAAATTGGATGGTATAAAACCAATGAGAAATGTTGATATAACCTTCTGTGCTTGCATGTGTCAAAATACATGAATAATTTATTTTCAATATTATTTGATTTTGATAATGATTTGCTTACAAATTGTACTATTTATACTAGTTGTACTATTTCCAAAAAAAAATTGATGTAAGAATCATTATGAGTTCGGAAAATTATGTATATGCATTCATGTTTGGACTACGAAAATAATCCAAGCTGTACAAGTAAACAAACCTTTAAAGTATAAGGTGGAACATAGGAACTTATGTGATAATGTAGTAATTACCAAAATGACTATTTAAAAATTAAAATAGTTAGAGAAAACATTATAAACCCATAGCCATTTGGTCAGTTGATTAGTTTTTCATATGGAAAACCAAATAAAATTTTTAATTTTTTTATAATGAAGAAGTTAAACTAGTTGGACCAATATTACGTATCTTGTATAAAATACAAGTTGTTCCAGTAGTACAACTAGTACAACTAGTACAACTATAACGCATATAACTAGTACAACTAGGTTGGATATAACTAGTATTACTAGTACAAGTAGAACGCGTATAACTAGTACAACTTTGTAACTAATATGGTCATATTTGGTTTTTGTTTTCAGCGTATTAGTGATGTTATAGAAGATAATGCATAGTCAATGAAAATGTTGGTCTAATCTTCTCCGCTTAGATGTGTCAAAATATGTTAATAGTTTGTTTTCTATAATATTTTATTTGAATAATAATTTTGTCTTAGTAGTCGTACTAGTTGTACTATTTAGGGGGAAAAATCATCTTCATTCTGTTCTTGAAGCCGAATAAGGCAACTACAAAACAGCAAAAAATCATCTTCATGTATGACCGATAAACTTGGCTATGAAATTTAAAAAAAAAACTTAGTTGTCCCACATAAAATTTAATTAGGATGGAACATTCTAAGTACCTTCAAGTTTGTCCAGACTATTTTTTTTATTCATAGAGAAAAGTAAATGAAAATTTAAAATTTCTTAATTGAAGAAGTTCTACCAGTATTTCATGCGTGGTATAAGCCCTCACGAGTTCTAAAGTGATGTATAGGGTTCATGTTTGGTGTTTGTACTATAACAATAATAGTCTAGCTTGTGCACTTGGTTTAACTATGATAGTAGTACCAATGTTTCAATATTAAAAATGACATACAAATATTAGTTTATTTTTGTATTTTATCAAATAGCTTTTTATTTTTATGTTTTGCAAATAGCAAAGTCATGTCAGATTATCATAACACTTCTCACACCCAACATCTATTTTAATTATATGGATATAAAAAAAATATGAAATAAAGCATGTATACAATAAGAACATAGTAAAATTTACATATTTTGATATGAAGAGGTGGCATACTAATGATTTTATATACGATTTTATATACGCATACACATACTTGGAAAATATTTTAATGTTATTAATAGAAATATACCTCCATCAAGAAAAGGGAAGCCTAAAAAACAAAAAAGCTAGATAAATATGATTGGTAAAAATAGTAGAACTAGTATAACTACGAGAAAAATATGTATGACTGGTTTAACCGGTACAACTATGTTCTTTTAATAACACGTAGTTATACCAAATTTTGGGTTGTACAAGTTTGTACATAGTTGTATTTAGGCAATGAAATTGAAAAACTTAGTTGTACCACATAACAAAATAAATATACCCCAGTTGTACTACTTCTATATGTTTACCTATCTGATGTCACATATAATCGAATCATTGATTTTGTTAAAATGCATTCAATATAGGTTTTTAAAAAATATAGTAAACAAACAAGTAAACAAACCTTTAAAGAATAAGGTGGAACATGAAAACTTATGAGATAGTGTAATAATTATAAAAAAATATTAAAACCAATTTAACAGAAAAAAACTAAACGAAAGAAAGAACAATTATCATGTTTAAAGAGAGTTACACATCTAAAATATGGTAAACAACCAAAATGTGATAAAATTATTAACATGTAGTTGTACCAGTATTTTAGTTGTACAATTATATACATAGTTGTACCGAGTTTTGAGTTGTACAAGTTTGTACATAGTTGTATTTTCGTCCAGAATTTGAAATATGTAGTTGTACCAAATAGTACATTAAAATAACTCAGTTGTACTACTTGTATATATTTACATACCTAGAATCACATACTATGAAATCATTAATTTTGTTAAAACATATTCAGTGTATATTTTTTCAAAAATATAGTGACTAAACAAATAAACAAACCTTTAAAGTATAATATAGATCATGGAAATTTATGTGATAGTGTAATAATTACGAAAAGAAATTGGTAAAACTTCAAATAATTATGATGGATCATTCTAATGACCTTTCTACTTGTTTAGTTTGTGGTTATTTTCATATGGAAAACCAAATGGAATTTTAAAATTTCTTAATTGAAGAAGTTGTACTAGTTGTACCAGTATTTCTTATCTGGTATCTATAAAGTAGCTAGGTATACTAGTTGTACTACTATTACAATATATAGTTATACGATTAATACCAATATCACAACATAAAAAAATTATTGGTATGTTACATGAATAAGTTTCACAACACATAAGAAGGTTCCATAACATATAATTAAGAAACATTCGTCACTTTTTTTGTTGATCACTTTCTTTGTTGACATTTCCCTTGTTACCACTTTCCCTTTTCTAAAATTTCTCTTTGCCAAGGAGAAGGCACGTCTTTGATTCATTTAACTGGTTTCTTTGTAGTTGTTGTCTTGAAATAATACAATACCATTTGTAACCAACCCCACGACATTATAATACGTATATTTAAGTCATTAACTTTACAATATTTAATTTCATCGTACTTCATCTCGCACGTCCGAATAACAACCCACATGATCAAAATATATCACCACACTTCGATTATTATCCATAGTTATCTAAAAAAGCATAATAAATCACCACTTAGTAGTTGTACAAGTTATACTAATTATATCATATACGGAGCACTAATGACATTCATACTAATTGTACCACTTATACTTGTTTTTATGTTACTCGCGATATAACATTTATAATAGTAATATTAGTTATACATTTTTTACTAGTTATGTGTTATAACAGTAGACCTATTTCATATGTTACTAATAGATATACTAGTTGACCTAGTTGTATGTTTCGTATGAACAATCAGTAACACTAGTTGTACCAGTATACATGTTGTATACATTGTTAATGGTTGTACCAGTTTAACTAGTTGTACGTTTTGTATGAGAAAAAGAAAGAAAGAGAGACATAATATTATCCAAGTCCATTTATTGAGAAACATACACGAGTTGTAGTCGATGGTTTTGCTGCTCGTCGTCTAACCTTTGGAAAACAAATAAATCTGATGAAGAAGAGATTGGTTTGTAAAGAATTAAAGAGAAGAATTGAAAAGATTAAGGTTTTGTTGTTGACGTGAATGTAAGAGGAAGAAGAAGAGAAGAATGAATTTCACGTGAAAAGGAGGCCAATTTAATCAGCCAATAGAGGCTGTATTTTCTGCCACGTCACTGCCATGTGGGATTGTTCAAGTCAATAATATGATGATTCGTATAGGTCAAGAACAAAGATTAGGCAGTAGAGTTGGTAAAACATAGCTCTTAAACCCTCAAAAATCTGGGTTCGATTCCCACCAGTGACATTTTTCTTTTTCTTTTTCTGACCCCACTAATATCCAATCATGGGATCGCCCCTGCATCTGATGTACTAGAAGGAAGGCGTTCATCATCAAACAATCAGATTGTTGACCCAAAGAATGGAAAGAAGGGGACACGATTAAGATTAGATCCACCTAGAAAACATAAATCACCATTGCATTTCCTTATGTTTTATGTCGTCATTTTCGTTTGGTTATGTACTATAATTTAGAACTTTATCTATTTTTAATTAAAATCAACGTGGTGAGTGGTGTTTAACCTATCAATATACATGTCTTCCTTTAAGCTCAAATTAAGTAAACGCAATATAGGCATTGAAGAACTCACTTCCTCTGCATGTTAAAATGTGTTAAAAAATATAGTTTGAGATGTTAAAACTATTCATCAAAAACTATTTATACAACTTCTGAGCTAATAGTGAGTAATGAAACATTATATATACATACACTCATAAAAGACTTGGAGAATATAAATTCACAAAAAAAACCTTTTAGAGGAAGACATGACATGGTTAGAGAAAGCATGAGGACGTTGGTTTGGGACTCCCAGAGGTCCACAAAACGACTCAAAAAAAAATGTTAAGTTAGAGTAAGTTTCTTATTAGACACTACACTAATTTGTTGATATTCTGTTAGAAAGCTTTTAACTAAATATACTCTTTTTTTTTCTCTGCGAACTCCTAACTAAATTATCGAAAATGTGTCAAAACATATTATGGTGTTAGGCAGTTGTCTTCTATCTAATGACTTTATGTCGATCAGGACCAATAAATTTGGTTCCAGTGTGTTTATAGAAGATAGTACACAAAAAAAAAAACAGAATTCTTTTGAATTACATTAAAAATAACTCCAGGCGAATAAAACTTGCCTTTAAGCATTACTAGAATCTGAAACTGAAAATTTAACAATGTTTCTAGATTAATTTTCTGACACTTCTTACAGAGAGGCATATTATACTAACATGGTATATTATTCTCTTTAGTTGAAATCTATTTAAGTTTGCCAAGAGTATTTCACAAAGTTAGAACCAGTGGGCACTTAAATATATAATTATATGATCTTTACTTGGCTGACATATTCATAGATAAAACTAGGGGTGGCATGGATCGAATACTACCATAATTTTAAGTATTTGCGGTTTGCTTTGTATTTTACGGATATTTAATTTTTCGATTTGCTTTGTTTCAAAAAATTACGGATAATATTTGTGAAAAAATTACGAATATTACGGATATTTCATCTACTTTATTCAATATAAATATTTTTTTTTTTAAACTATACAAGTTTGTTTCCAAAAATATATTTTACATAACAAAGATTAGTGAAATTATGTCTCAAAATTTTTTAAAATTAGTTAATTTTAAACAAAACATAAAATTTTAAGAAAATTATAGTTTTATAAAGATTTTATCTTCCTTTCTTAAGTTAATACTTTTATATGTAATTTTATAAATATAATTAATTAAATTATATATTAAAATAATAATTATATAAATTATGCATTTAAATTTCTATATTTAATTGTATATATACACTTATTTTTATAAAAATTGGAACGGATCAGGTATCCGATTCTAATTTATTAGTATTTGTGATTTACTTCATTTTTAATGGATATTAAATTTTAATATTTACTTTGCTTCGAAAATTTATGGATATCCAGAATTTTCAAATCAAAATAGTCGATTCAGAATTTATGGATAAAATGTCCAACCCTAGAGAAACTGTTAAGAAGATTTCAAACACCCAAAAACTGATAAAATATAATTGTTTCATTAATTTTTTGTAAGGAAAAAAATCATAATTGCTTAGACTAGGAAATAAACTAAAACTACATAACCAAAGGCGCCACATTGTTAATATACAGTCGTCAAGGTAACCAAAACAAATACATCATAAATTTTTCAAATAAACCAAATAGTCTTATGAAAATGCATTTTTCAATAACACAAATAGTAAATAGTTAGTGATATAACAAGCGTTTGAGCAGTTCCAATGGAGATTCTTCCCATTTAAAAATTTAAAATATGTATTATGTATATATATATATATGTATATATTATATATGTATAAATATTTGTGGAATTATACAGAAGAATTTCCTTTGGAGATGGTTTTAGGATCACAAACGAAAGGTCCAAAAAAATTGAATCAATTAGTAGTTATGTATATCTTTGTTTTCTAACTTATAAGAATATACAAAACTAACTTATGCAATTCACTATGAATCATTTAAATGATAGATTTTCTTTGACTATATCGAAGTCAAATAAAATAATAAGAATACACACACACACACACACACACACATATATATATATATATATATATATTACATTTTCTGAATTATTTTTGCTAATTTTATATTCTCCGAAAATAGAGAATAATGAAGGTTACTGTCCTTTTAATTCAAACTAAAAATGTTTAGTACAACCTCAGACTATTTATTATTTGTTTGTTCAATTTATAATGATTTAATGCTTCATAAAATTAAATAAATAAATATATAATAGTTTTTACTATAACTTTCCGCCCGTAGGGCGGACCAAAACCCCTAAATGAGTACATACTTATCAAGGATTGAATGGTTCTGTCCAGTTTATGTTTCTATTTTTTCTCAGTTTAGTTTCCTTTCAGTTTGCATCTTTGAGAGTTCTTTCTCTTTCCAAACATTTTATCTATACAATTTCGCCATTTATGAATGATAATTGCTTATTGTTATGATTTTCAAACCACCCTTGCGTCTCTGATATGTGTTAATTACTCCTCTTTAAATATTTAGGAACTGATATCATATAATCTTTACTGCACCTATGAATTGTTAAAATTTGTTAGTTTTTTAACTATTACATATATTACATTGTTCATTACTGGTATCATATAATTTCGTTAGACCCAACCAAAATTCAACTCCTTAAAACTATTTTCTTTAAAAAGAATAATAATGTTATTGGAATGATTATTTATTTTCAACTATACAAAGGAGTAGTTTAAATACATATATATACTACTAATGCATCAAGTCTTCTCTGACAATTGGTTACAAAAAAAAAAAAAAAACTCTAACTATTTCATTAAACATTATAAAACTTATGCCTACGAGCTTATATATATTTTTTGATATTGAATTTCAATAGTTCAGAAATATTTTCTCCAAAACCATCACATAAAATAAAATTAAAATCCAAATAATTGAAATAAAGTAGTTACCCTAAATATAAAAGCTATATACAAAAACAAAAACTATAAATAAGATAAAAAAATTGAAGTTTATGGGAAATAACTCAGGCGTAGCCCGAAAAAATCTCTAGTCTATATAATTATTTAAAAATATACGTCAGGCCACTGTACAAAAACTTTTTTAGGACGTTACCATTGTACAGAAACTAATGTAAGTTTTTATATTCCTAAGAATAGTAGTTGTTAATAAATTGTCAATTGCATAACTAGAATTGAGAACTTCAGACGTAAAATCATCAATGAGTTTTAATTAAATTACTTGAATAAGATATCAGTTCGAATTATTTTTTCTTATAATATCTATAAACCCAAAAAAGTGTCTAGTTGCGGCAAGTTATTCTTTTTTTGTTCTATAAACCACTCCACTAAAATTAAAATTTATAATTCCTACATATTAATGTCAAAAGTTTACCGCTAAAATTTATTGACAGTATCAGTCTATCAGATTTCCACTCACAATATTTAAATTTTCTTTTTGAAAAAGTGACTAAGTGAAGGATATAAAAATATTAAAATGCCATAGAGTCATTTTGTATATTATAATTAGTCCACGAGATTAGTCCTCAACTCCTCATACACGTCATACTTAATTATATGACTAAACCTGCCACAGTCAGAGAAAGACTGCCATCTTCTCGGTCGTGATTAAGAGTTTTGAGTTGGTCTCTTGTTCTTGTCGCTACAGAAGCTATGGTGAGAAGACATGGCTTGCAACTTCCCGCTGACACTCTTCAGGTAGTACTCCGTTGTAATGAATCTAACTCACTTCTGCATGTTTCGATCGACAACAGCTACTAGAGTTTGATGTTTTGGACGTTGTCAGGTGATTGCAGTTACGGTGTTTTGCTTGTTGGTGGTCGCTTACTATGCTTTCTTTGCTCCTTTTGCTGGAGGACGCGTTTGGGAATACGTTTTGATCGGTGTTTACTCTCCGGTGGTATGTTCGATGCTTCTCAAGCTAAGTACTTCCATATATATAGTTCTTAGGACCAATACATAACTCAATGTTGATGGATTATGTGCGTTTGCAGGCTCTTCTTGTTTTCGTTCTGTATGTTCGGTGTACTGCTATTAATCCTGCGGATCCAAGAATCATGTCGATATTTGAGTTGCCTCATCCCTTATCAGCCAGAGATATCTCAAGGAGTTTTAATGAAACTGGAAGTCAGTTTCAGTCTTCTCCTTCAGGTGTCTCCAGGAGTTTTACCTTAGCAGCAAACTCTACTGTTAAAGGCTCTCTAGGAGATGCTGAAAGAGTGGACTCTGTTCCTAGAAAATCTTGCTATAATCCTCTGGCTATCTTCTGTTGTGTGTTTGTTCTTGAAGACTGCTGGAAACAGGAGAGTAGCAGAGTGGGTCTATATTGCTCAATTTGCAATTCTGAGGTATAAAAGTCAGAAAGCTCAATCAAGTCCCTATGGTTTGTGTATGTCATGTGTACACCTTTTTGTTCTGAAGTATGTATATGTTTCACAGGTAAGTAACTCCAGCAAGCATTGTAGGAGCTGTGATAAATGTGTTGATGGTTTTGATCACCATTGCAAGGTAAGCTTTCAAAATGTTTTTTTTTTTCTTGCAAGTTGCAACTAGTTACCCTTGTGTGGATATTTGACTGGAATTTAATGGGTTCAACAGTGGCTTAACAATTGTGTTGGTCGCAAAAACTACATGACTTTTGTCTCTCTGATAACTGCCACCCTTCTTTGGGTAATGTATATGCTTCCTTGTATGTGCTACTACATGAACTTATTTTTCACTTAAACAGCTAATAGGTTACACTTTCTACCTCAGCTCATTATTGAAGCAGCAGTGGGCGTTGCAGTTATTGTTCGTGTATTTGTTGATAAGAAGAGAATGGAGATTGAAACTGTCAATAGACTAGGGAATAGCTTCTCTAGAGCACCTCTTGCTGCAGTTGTTGTAAGAATTCTTGATGTTGTGTTGCATTTGATATAACAAAGCTCCTGTTGTTTCCTAATGCCACATCTGCAAAATTGTTGTAGGGTCTTTGCACTGTTGTTACCATTCCAGCGTGTTATCATCTGGGCCAACTTCTCTTTTTCCACATGTTGCTCATCAAAAAGGTCAGTAAGAAGCTCTCTTACTACGTTTAGTATGTTTATAGTTTTTCTGATGGCATGTTCCAAATATAATCAATGTGAGCTTGTCTTATCGGTAGGGACTTACAACATATGATTATCTTCTGGCGATGAGAGCCATGAGTGACGCACCAGCTGGAGCCGCATCTGTTGACGAGGAGGAGCTTCAGAGTGTGCTCTATTCTCTCAACGGATCTGCCACAACCGGCTTTAGTGGTGGAAGCTCTCTCGGTCTATCATACAACTGGTGCACTCCACCTAGAGTGTTTGATAATCAGGTAACTCCACATAGTTTTGAGTTGCAATAGTTTGGTTCTATAAACTCAATATATATCATCCATGGGAGCAGTAGATGATGTTTATTTCTGTTGCAGGATGAAGTCATTCCCCAACTAGACTCTCGCATGGTCCTGTCAGATGCAGCGGAGAGAGGCATCAAGGCTCCCAAAAGATCCGTCAAACGCAGTGCATGGAAGCTAGCAAAGCTGGACGCAAATGAAGCTGCAAGGGTAGCTGCTAGAGCCAGAGCATCTTCATCTGTCATGAGACCAATAGACAAACCACATTTGCCTGATAATGAACTTAGCTCAGTTGGCTCTGGCAGTACAGATGCTAATGTGGCTGCAAGGAAAGAGATACAGAACAATGATTTAAAGTCATCTCTCTCTAGAAACGCGTTTGCTGCTCCAAGCCAAAGTAGCAGGGATGAGTATGACACTAGGAGCCATGGCATGAGCAATTTCAGCAGTGCAAGCCATGTTCACCAGTCAGTCACACTTGCTCCTCTCCCTCAATATTCTACAGTAAGAGGCCACCGCTTCTCTGCAACAACAACCCATCACATGCATTCAAGGCTTGATGAAAAGGTGCTGCACAGAAGAAACAACACTGATCTCTCTGTACCTTCAACTAGTCTTCTGAGAGATGTGAGAAAGACATCAGTTGTTTGGGATCCTGAAGCTGGGAGATACGTATCAGCAGCTCCAGTAACAACAATGCCTGAAGCTCGCAATAGATTACCAGATCCTACCTCACAAATAACCCACACTAGGAATCCAAGACCCATTCTCCCACCGCAACAAGCCGAGAGAAGACTGATATATACAGGTGACTCTATCTTCTTTGGAGGACCTCTGGTTAATATCCCGACTAGGAATAACCCTAGAAGTGAAGGGAGCATAGTAAGAGAGGGACAAGACAGATTGGCATCAACACTTCATCAAGATGCAAGATATAGAAGGGATTCAACCTCAAACCAGCTTCCAGTGTTTGCCCCTGGGCTTTGATCTATCTTTCACTTGCTAACATATTCGTCCCTGCACTTTAATTAACCACTTTGCCGTTTGAAAGAGATCATAAGCTATGTAATAAATTATTATGGTAGTGTAATATAATCACTCTTCGAACACGTCTCGCCCGTACACGAGCCTGGACTCTTACTAAAGCTTGCATACACCAAAGCCTTACAGCTGCTTGGTTTCTCACAGAGTGCCCTCTAAAAAGGGCTTGAAGTCTAACCAATCCCTTCAACGCTCGTAAAGCCCTTTTAGCCTGCAAAAATGTACACATCTTTTTTCTCAGTCCAGTCAAAAAGCCATAGAGTAGAAGTGAAAAAAAATAAAAATAGAAAACGACAACACATGCCCATTTGTGTCTTCAAATCCATCTTGAAGCTTCTCAGCATTAAAATTAACTGAATGCTGCTTTCTCCTAACCGGCTCTTGCTTGCAACCTTCACCTTAACCAATCCAACAAACATTTTCTGCAAATACACACAAAAAAAAAAGCTTGTATACACTCTTTAACCAACATTGGCACATCAATGAAAGAGCATACATGATCATACTTGTTTGAAGACTTTGACTTATCAGATTTGGTGAAACCAACCAATGCTTTAATCCATCTCCCTGAAGCACCCATTGTATCAAAACGATCACCAATAAGAAGAACAACAACCTGCAGGATTGCATTTAGCAACTGAATTACTCTAAAAAGAAACAAACTTTCTTTTTGGGTTTGATCAGTAAGGAACTAAAAAGCAAACTTTGAAACTAAAAGAGGAGAATTGAGAAAGGAGCAGACGCAAAAAAAAACTCTCCAGAGGAGAAGAAGCAAAGTTAGAAACTTTACCGGCGGCAAAGGAAACTTTGTTGAATACACTTGACTTGCTATATAAAAATTGAATCTTTATCGTTTGATTTTCCCTCTCCTCTACTTAGTTAACGAATTGAATGATTGCAAGCCGTCTTCAAATGCTACAATGCGCCGTGGTAACCTGAACTTTGCAGCGTTTATTGAGGAGCTGCAAAAACGGCAAGCAGTTTATGTTTCAGATATTTTTGATTTTTGATTTTTTGTATGTATGTTTAAAGCATGCATTTCTATACGATGTAAAGTTTTCAAAACTATGGTATTGGAGTGGGAAAGGCAAAACAAAATGTGTCATCTGATGTGACGTGTTTGTTGTCATCTATGATATGATTGTGACTGATTTGTAATGAAGGCAGTAATTATGTTTCAATCCGTAACCTTTTTTGGCTGCATCATAGGTTAAAAAAAGTATACAGTTAATATGGTAACACATCACTACTAATCTCACTACCATATGTTTTTTATGCTAAAAATCTTACATAATTGTATTTTTCGTACTAACTTTAGTTTATAATATGTTACAAAATTTGAAATATATATATATATTTTTTATCAATCAGTTGGCCTAGTTGGTGCGTTTTATGATGGCTGCAAAATTTAAATTTGTGTGTAAGTAAATAAAAACACCAATAAAATAAAGTAAAACAACTATGACTCAATGACACGTCACAGTTCAAAATCAAATGGAACTCATCGAAAGAGATTATAAGAAGATGAGATGATCCATCCTCCTTCTTTATTGAAAAACCAGTCTAAAAAAAAAAAACGCTCACTCTCATTAAACAGATTCATCTCTCTCTCTCTGTTTCTTTCGAGACTCATCTCTCAGTTACGGAGAAATGGCGTTAATCAACAGCCTCCGACGTTTGGCTCGTTCCTCTCAGGTTCTCTTTACTCGTTACTTTCAATGATCTTCTTTACTTGTTATCTATTTATTCTTTTTCGAATCATCAAAATTGATACTCATCCTTGACATGGATCAATATGAAAAAAAGGAGTGTTCTTTTCTTTTCTTGGGGATTCTCCAGTAATCATGGAATATTATTATTTATTTAAATAATAATGAACCCAAATAGTGATTTTGTTGGAATTTTATTTTTTATAGACTAAACTCAAAAAAAAAAAAATGATTTTGATTTATCTTTCATAGCTCAAACCTCTAAATATATATCTCTATCTCTCTTATATATGCGCAGGTTACTTTGCAGAACAGGTATGCTGCTGCTTCATCACAATACATGTCTGGTTCGAGGATCTTTACTACAGAGGCATCACCCCAGAAGCAAACCATTGTTGGGTCAGTTTTTTATATTCATGATTTCTGTTTTAAGTACTAAAGGCTTCATGAGCTTGTTATGAATATAGTGGAAATGAGCTATATAACTTATGAGCTGCAGGTCTAAAGGGCATGATATGCTGGCACCTTTTACAGCTGGGTGGCAGAGTGCTGATATACATCCCTTGATCATTGCCAAATCTGAGGTCACCCCTTCTTCTTCTTTTTTTTTTGTATAGACCATGATGTTACATTCGTCAGTGTTGAGTGTGACATTTTTTTGGCTTTCATTCTTATTACAGGGAAGTTATGTGTATGATGACCATGGCAATAAGTATCTTGATTCTCTCGCTGGTCTATGGTGTACTGCCTTAGGTATTATTCCTCATTTTCCCTTTATATAAGACATGCATGGATCTAATCTAAGCATTGTGTGATTGGTGTACAGGAGGAAATGAGTCACGGCTTGTTTCTGCTGCCGTGGAGCAGTTGAAAACTTTGCCCTTTTATCACTCCTTTTGGAACCGTACTACTAAGCCTTCTCTGGTACTCAAAAGACATTTTGTCTTTTTGGTTTCATCATTATAATGTGTGTTTCAGTGTGGTGTTAATACTCAGAGCGGTATACTATCAAAGAGAATTTAATCACTGTGATGTTTTTTTTTTCCTGCAAAACAGGATCTTGCTAAGGATCTTCTAAACATGTTTACGGCTAACAAAATGGCCAAAGCTTTTTTTACAAACAGTGGATCCGAGGCCAATGATACCCAGGTTCCCATAACTATACAACTCGATCCCCCTTAGTTTCTAAGCAGTTTTCCTATAAGAGCTGCTCATTTATCTCATCATGTATGTATATGCAGGTCAAGCTGGTTTGGTACTACAATAACGCACTTGGGAGACCTGAGAAGAAAAAATTTATTGCCAGAAAGAAATCGTGAGAAAAGGATATATCCTTGTCATTTTGTGTGCTGTCTGTTTTTATAAGATTTGAAAGTGCTTATAAGTGTGGTGTTGTGACCTTCAGGTACCATGGCTCCACTCTAATATCAGCAAGTTTGTCAGGGTAAGATCAACATAGTTCCTCTACAGAAGTGCCAAAGCTTCTTTTCTTTCGTGAAAAATATAATCCGTTTTATTTTCCAGCCTTCCAGCACTGCACCAAAACTTTGATTTACCTGCACCTTTTGTGCTACACACAGATTGCCCTCACTACTGGCGTTTTCATCTTCCAGGTATGAGTGATTCTCACTTCCACTTTACAAGTAAAAGTAATCTTTGATTCTAACCTTGGAACTCTTTGTCTAGGTGAAACGGAAGAGGAGTTCTCAACCAGATTAGCCAAGAATTTAGAGGATCTCATCATTAAAGAGGGACCAGAAACAGTAAACATTCAATTGATTACTTATGGAAATTGCCATCTCTATGCGTTTAGGATGAATGTTGGCATCTAAATATAACACAAATGTCTTCTTTCTAGATTGGTGCTTTTATCGCTGAACCAGTTATGGGTGCTGGTGGTGTTATACCTCCACCTGCTACTTACTTTGAAAAGGTCATTTTCGGAAACTTTGTTGGTACTAAGTACAAATAACAATGATTATGCTGTTTCCTGGTACTAAGTACCAATTATATTGGACTCTTTCTGTACTGCAGGTCCAAGCTGTTGTTAAGAAGTATGATATCCTGTTCATTGCGGATGAAGTATGTGCATATCTAACTGAACAATATTCACTATCATGACCCCAATATCGATCAAGAAAGAAAAAAGTCATTAACCATTGGTACTTTGTTTGGCCCTTAAGGTGATATGTGCATTTGGAAGGCTCGGAACAATGTTTGGCTGTGACAAATACAACATCAAGCCAGATCTTGTGTCCTTAGCTAAGGTGATATTTTGGAAGATTGATTGACTAGCCTTTTTCTCTATGTTTACAAGTGTCCACATAGGTTTGGTAAATGTTTAAATACATATGCAGGCATTGTCTTCAGCATATATGCCGATTGGAGCCATTCTTATGAGCCAAGAAGTAGCAGATGTCATTTATTCTCAAAGCAACAAGCTAGGTACGTTTTTAGTTATCCTCAGCGTGGTATCATTTCAATGTTCTGTTCTTAAAATGCTGTGGAAAAAAAACGTTTCTGTTTTGTAATTTCAGGTGCTTTCTCGCATGGTTTTACTTATTCTGGTCATCCAGTTTCATGTGCTGTAGCAATTGAAGCGTTAAAGATATACAAGTAAGTTAAAGCTCAAAAAATGAAGATATATAAGTAAGTTTGTCACTTTGCTCATTCATGCAAAAAGGGTTTCAAAACCTGTCTCACACTTCAGGTGGCAGATGATTAAGTTTCTAGTTTGTCTTTACTTATCAGCAGTTTTGTTTAAATTAATATTCATATTGCAGAGAGAGGAAGATACCAGAGCATGTGGCCAGAGTTGCCCCAAGGTTTCAAGATGGTCTTAAAGCTTTTGCCAAGACTAGTCCTATTATTGGAGAGGTATGGTTTCTCTTGGTTGATTACTCCACCAGCTTTTCTTTTGAAGTATTTGATTAAACATTCAGCCATGTTGTGATGTTTTTCAGATAAGAGGAACGGGTATGATTCTTGGGACTGAGTTTACCGACAACAAATCACCAAACGAACTATTTCCACCAGAATGGGGTAAAAAAAACAAAAACAAAAAGAGTCTCCTAAACTCATGACTTTACTAAGATATTTACACGATTTCAACTGATGTTACCAGGTGTTGGGGCATACTTTGGAGCCGAGTGCCAGAAGCGTGGCATGTTAGTCCGGGTTTCAGGTGATAGCATAATGATGTCTCCACCGCTCATTATCTCCCTTGAAGAGATCGATGAGGTGAATTTACGATTCTTAGACATTTTGTCTGCTAAACTCGTGTGACCAGTTCCCTTTCAACCTCTCTCTCTCTCTTGTCTCTCTCAGTAGGGTGTTTTATGATTTTTGCAGTTGATTACTATCTACGGGGAAGCCTTGAAAGCTACGGAAGAGAGAGTAAAAGAACTCAAGACTCAGCTAAAGAAGTGAAAAGCAAAGTTACAAAAAGAAGTTGTTTAGAATCTCCCATCTCTCTGCTTGAACTGTTTACTATTTGCTTTGTACAATGCACAATTTCAGTTATATGCATAATAAAGCATCCAACATTAGTTCCCTGTTTCTCGAGCTCTTAACCACATGAGTGTCTATGTAAAATGGCACCATAAGAGCTTTCACTAAAGCAATCAATTCAGGGATTGTCTGTTTCATGAGAGATCAAGTTCCATTTCTACTACTTTATTCATCAAGGGCACTGAGTCTTGGTAAAAGGGACTGTCCACAATGTACTTCACAATTCAGAACGATCTCCTTGAGTGCATATTCAGAACGATCTCCTTGAGGAATCTGATGGTAAGTGTCCCGTAAAGGCATTATGCGGTATGTCAACACAGAAAACAACATTGGGGGTGGTATCGTATTGACCCTCTCGTGTATTAAAATTAGATTGATCAAGTACCACAAGTTTGGCTAATTTGGGTTGTGAAAATTGTTTTGGGAATGATCTAACGTTTTTAAATTGCTCTTTCATATGATTAGGGGAAGAGACAATGGTTGCCTCTCTTCATTTGGTTGTGATGTGACTGACAAGCTGACTTATTTAACGACTAATTTGATCTTTACATTTCCACTAATCTTATCATAAAACGTTGAAGAGGAAGAGAAGTTCATCTTAACCTACAATAATAATAACTAATCGTAGTGACAGCTAGTTGCTAACTTCTATCACTAAAACACCATTAGATCAATCAAGCATTCACAAGTGACAACTTAAGCATGCTTTCTTACAGTCAATGACAATACTTTAATAACACTAATAATAAAACAGAACCAAGCCTAAATCGATTGTAAGAAAAACGAATCCAAAGAAACCCATTTCAATACCAAACATTCTACAACTAGAAATCAGATTTGATCATTTCGGCTTTTTTCACACAAAAAAATCTACTTAAAACAGTGAAATTATATTAATCAAACAACCAATATAGCAAAATGACCATAACTTAAAAAAAGACAAAAACTTCCAGAATCAAACAACCAATATAGCAAAATGACCATAACTAAAAAAAAAGACAAAAACTTCCAGAATCAAATTACGAAACCATATGTCTTAAAACATGTTCCACAAACTAGAAAAGCATACTGTAGATTCCATTACAAAAGATAAAAACATCTCAAAACCTGAGTTTGGTAAAGAACCACCTGTTCTTCCCCGTCTTAAACCTCTCCTCAAGCTTAGCCTTAGCCTCCTTAAGCGCCGCGACCTTCTTATCCTTCGAAGACAAAGCCTCGAGAGTCGCAACTTCCTTGAGATCCACGTCAAGCGTGTAACGAGTAGGCATCAGATGCTGGTAATTCACGACCTTGATGAAACACTTGACCCTCGACTTCTTCGCCGTCTTCTTGGCTGAGTCCTTGCGGATGACCTTGCTAGGGTACTTCTTGAGTCCCGCGACGAGGCAGTGACCGTAAGGTCGCTCGCGGTTTCCGTCGTCGAAGGAGCGGATGATCACTGCCTTCTTCCCGGCGTAACGGCCTTGGAGAAGGATCACCGCTTTGTTTTGCTTTAGGAACTTAACCATGGCGGCTGCTTCTCTTCTTCCGGTGATTGCAGAGAGGAAAGGGTGGGAGGATTAGGTTTTAGGGTGTGTTTATATGTGTGTGCTGTGAGGAAACCCTAATGGTGTGAAATGGATCTTATTCGGCCCAATAAACATGGGCCTGGTCTAAAAGTAATAATATAATCTTCAATAAAAATAAGTTTTGGGTTTTACGAAATTGAGGTCAAAAAGTGTTAAGTCTTTCGCTTCTTCTTTGTTCTGTTTGATTCTCTTCTTCGCAGTTCAAATCTTATATCTACTTGGTTAGTAAACTACGAAACCTTTTTTTTTTCCAACTCTTTGTTATGTTCGATCTTTCACATACTGATTGCGTTGAAAAAACTTCTTCGTTCATAGCTCTTTAGACTTTCTCTTTTGATTCACAAAAAAAAATTATATGTTTTTTTTTCTCGGTCATTAGGTTAGGCTTAAGAGTCTTCATGTTTGTTTAATGTTTAGTTTCAGTTTTGTAGAGTTATAGAATTCAGATATTTTATTTAGAGTAGACATGCCAATGCCAAGGAAACCATTCTCCACTCAACTCGGTTATTAATTAGGGTATTCTGTGAATCTTAATTGGTATCATGTTTCGTTGTTGTTTACTTTCTCTGGCTAAAGCTATATTAGTCAAGTTTAAAGTTTATGGCGCTAGTGAAAGAGGAGGATTCTCATAAGTATATGGGTTTTGCTCTGCAACAGGTAACACTAATTAAACACTAGTATTGGTTTCATAGTATTGCAAAAGTTTGTTGGAGTTACAATATTTGATTTCCATTGCTCTGCAGGCCAAGCTTGCTCTAGAGGCTCTTGAAGTTCCCGTGGGGTAAACTGTGTGTGCTTCGTCCCAGTTTGTGTTTCTAACCATCATTATCTATTAATATCTTTATGTTGTTGTTTGTCTGAGTACAGATGTGTCATTCTTGAGGAGGGTAACGTCATTGCTTCAGGACGAAACCGAACTAATGTGACACGCAATGTAATTTTTCACTATTTCTCTCTTATCTTAATTGAGAGTGTCTCTTGATTGTTACTACTAAGTCGTTTTTTTATACTTTTGTTCTAAAAAGGCTACAAGACATGCAGAGATGGAAGCAATCGATGAACTTGTCGAACAATGGCGGAAAGATAGACTCTCACCCTCGCAAATCGCTGAGAAATTCTCTAAATGCGTTCTTTACGTAACATGTGAACCTTGCATAATGTGTGCATCAGCCTTATCTTTTCTCGGTATGGTTCCTTAAGCTGAACTTGACATTTTCTTTTTGTTCCTGATATGATCTTCTCTCTTTAATCAAAGGTATAAAGGAAGTATATTATGGATGCGGAAATGATAAATTTGGGGGTTGTGGCTCCATATTGTCCCTTCACTTTGGGAGTTCTCAGACGTAAGATTATCCATCTCTAGGTCCTTTAAGATCATCACACTACAGTCTTACTAGAAAGAATCTGCCTTATTAATTGAAGTTTGTGATCTCTGTTTTTATGTTTTTCTGATAGTGAACAAGGTCAAGGAGGAAAAGGGTACAAGTGCAGAGGAGGAATAATGGCAGAAGAAGCTGTCTCTCTTTTCAAATGTTTCTATGAACAAGGCAATCCCAACGGTAACAATTCTCATCTTCACCTGCAACTCTTTCTTTGATAAAACATCTTAAAATGGTCGTTGGTTTTTTTTTTTTTTGGTATTAGCCCCAAAGCCACACCGCCCTGTAGTTCAAAGAGAGAGGAGTTGAGGTGGTGTTTGTCAACATGATGATTCTATTTCTACGTGTGTTTGTATGTATTTTTATTTAACAAACGTAACAAGAACAACTTTCAAGACGTTTTTCACGACAAGAGCCCAAATCCAAACCCTCTCTCTCGTCTAAGGATCCTTTTACAATGTACTCAAAAGCTTAGATTCTCTACATGCAAACTTGTATTTATACTCAATGATAAACTCAACTAACTCCAACGACTCGTAACAAACTTTTGAGCTGAGTCAATGATAAACTCAACTAGCTCCAACGACTCGTAACAAACTATTGATCTGAGTCATCATCATCCACGTCAGTAGCAACACTCTGCTCTGCATCAACATCATTCATCTTCTTACTCCTCTTCGGATAGTACACCCTCCAAGGCTTATCAATACCCCTCCTTCCGCCTGCGTCAACATCTCATCAGGCTCCTTCAACATAACCTCCAATTCAAAGTTCCCAGTAGAATCCTCTTCGAATCTCAACAATGATGGTAGTTCTCTATGGAACGAACTTTTGAAAAGAAAGTAAATTTCTCACTTAATTATTCAATATGGGTTAACCAGACCCAATCCTCGTTTATGTCATTAACAAATGCGTAAGGAACCTATCACATCCATTTAGTACTAATTGAACTGTTCTATGGATACAGTTCGACCAACCAAATTTACTTTAATATATGGGGTTTTTGCCAAAACTAACCCACAACTTGGTTTTAACCCCAATACTAGACCCCAACTTGAATCAAATGCAAATCTAACCTAAAAGGGCTATGAAATTACAATATAGTCCTCTGTGACCAAACAAAAAAACAGAAGACATTTTTACGAATATAACCCTAGTAAGTTGTCTGAGTTGGGCTGAGTTACTTTTCAGT